TCCTGGGGCCTAGGTGAGCAGGGGTCAAATGCCCCAGGGCCCGATTAAAAATAAAAATTCTTCAGGGCTTTATAGACCAGGCTGAGCGCTTCGGACTTTATCTTGTGGGGAAGTGGGAGCCGCCAAATGGGGGCAAGTCACCCTGGGTTCCCCGGGGTGAGCACACTGGTGCAGCAGGAAGCTGGCACCCTGGTGCCAGGCCACTGCCACACCTGTGTGACCCAGTCCTGGCTGTCCCTTCTGTCCCCACCCTCTTCTGGAAATCAGATAGCACCTGTCCTCCTTCCAGGTGCTGCGTCTGGTTTGACAGCTCTGCCACACGGAGCAGCTGCCTGGCCCCAGGGCCCGGGTGGGTGGGGTGTCCTGAGGCCAGCCCCTACAGGCTGGTGGGGGCCAGAGGGTGCACTTTCAGGAATTTGTGAGCTGATCGTTAAACAGGGCCATTCTTTTAAAACTAAGTTCCATAAATGATTTCAAATGGGGGGTGATATTTATCCCACACCCAGCCTCCTAATTATTTGCTACACTGTTAGGTGTGGTCTTGCATATGTAGGGTAACAAGCCAACATGGGGGGGGTGCCACTGTGTGTCCCTCCCCAACTCCTCCCTTGGGGACTCCACGCTGAGAGCTGGGAGCTGGCCATTGTGGGAATATTACACCTAGGATGTTGGCAAAGGCTACCAATCAGAGCTTTGGATGCCAGCTGCCCGGCCAGTCTGCACCACCTGCTCAGCCGGCTCCCTGCGCAAGCGCCCCCACCCCTCCCAGGCCTGTTCTTTCCACTTCTAGCAGCCAGAACAGGTTCAGGTCAGGTCAGATTAGAGTGCTCAGATGGGTTTCAGGAAGGTGTGGGCAGCCCTGAGCGTCTGCCCCACCACCGTAGTCCTGCTGCAGGACTGTCTGGGGGGTCTCCCTGTGCTCCACAGCCCACCGAGGGCTGCACGTCCAGGGCGGGATCTGGGAAGCCTGGCCGTGTGGATGGAGGGAGGGGCCTGATGCCGACAAGTGGGGAGAGGAAGAGGGGCCTTGCTCATGAGAAACCAACCAAGTCCAAGCAGCCTGCTGTCCCAGGTGGCAGACATCTCTGTGGGCACCGCCCTGAGGTGCCCAGCTCCTCAACGCCACCGAGGAGCTGGGTGCCAACTGGGGAAACTCGTTTGTGAGAACGAGAGTGTGGGAAGCGGACAAGCTGGAGGCAGCAACGTGCCTCCGTCTGAACTGCTCAACAACAGCCCTGACCTGCGTGGCTCAGGGGGTTGGGTGTCGTCCCGCAGAGCAGAAGGTCGCCCGTTCAATTCCTGGTCAGGGCAGACGCCTGGGCTGTGGGCCTGGTCCTGGTTGGGGGCGTGCAAGAGGCAACGCACTGATGTTTCTCTCCCTCTGTTTCTCCCTCCCTTCTCCTCTCTCTGAAAACAAAATCTTAAAACAAAACTACTCAACAACATTACAAAGGCGGCACTATCTCTGGATTCCTGAGACTGAGTCTCCAACAAATTTAAGTTCTCAGGAATATTTCCCTGACCTGGCAGTTGATAAAGGAGGCAGTCCTTCAACAGGATGTGTGCGATTCAAACTAAAAGGAGAACCTTACAGGAAAAGATCGGTAACTCTTTGTTAGAAGTAAGATCATCTGTTCATCAGAAGACACCACTGGCAATAAAAAGGCAACTCACAGACTGAGAAGAAAGGGCCAAGACACGAAACTGACAGAGGACTCGTGTCCGGAACACAGAAGGAGCCGTAAGTCAATAGAAAAAGACAAGCCCATGACACACTGGCAAAAGGCCTGAACAGGTACTTCCTGAAAGCCGACACCCAAACGACCCAATTGGCCTGCGGAGAGGTGTGCAGCCTTCTCAGCATCAGGGAAGGGACCTACGGGTGGCCAACAGACGTGAAAAGATGCTCAACGTCACTGATCATCAGAGACATGCAAATTAAAACTACAGTAAGATATCACTTCACCGTAGCTATCATCAATAAATCGACAAACAGCAAGTGCTGGGGAGGATGTGGAGAAAGGGGAACCCTCGTGCACCAGTGGTGGGAAAGCAGACTGGGGCAGCCACCGTGGAAAACAGTATGGAGGCTCCTCAAAAAAGTAAAAATGGATCTGCCTTATAACCCAGAGATTCCATTTCTTGGGATTCATTTAAAGAGACCCAAAACACTTTCATGAAAGAATGAAAGAATATTTGCACCCCTATGTTCATTGCAGCGTTATTTACAATAGCCAAGATCTGGAAGCAGCCCAAGTGTCCATCAGCAGATGAGTGGATAAAATAACTATGGGACATTTAGACAATGGAATACTACTCAGTCATAAAAAAGAAGAAAAGTTTCCCTTTGCAACAGCATGGATGGACCTGGAGAACATTATGCCAAGTGAAATAAGCCAGTCAGAGAAAGACAAGTACCGTATGATCTCACTCATACGTGGAATCTAATGAACAAACTGAACACGCAAACAGAGACAGATTCATAGAGAGCAGGCTCACAGCTGCTCTCTGAGGGGAGGATGGTGGGGGAGATTGCAAAAAAGAAAAAGGACCCATGGACACAGACAATGGTGTGATGATTGTGGGGGAGGGGTTGCATGGAGGTGGAAGAAGGTACAAGGGGGATAAATGGTAATGCAAAAAATATGGTAAAAATAATAATAAAATATGTGCACATTAAAAAAATAAAATTTGAAGCCACAGTGAGCTGTCTATGTCTGCAAAGGAAAGATTTTAGTCCAGAGAGAAAGTATAACAACCATTTATTGGCCATGGCAAAAGCACAGTCAGAAGGGATGTTTGCTATAAAGCTGGGACAGTGAAACAAGGAAGGGCCTAGGGTAGAAGAAGCCACAGGAGAGCCCAGGTGGGGCTGCTTTGGCTCACTGGGAAGTCAGAGGGAAGGGGACCCTGGAGCCAGGGTCGGGGGCTGAGCCTGGGACGAGCTGCCGCTGTCCCACTGCTCCCCTGGTTGCAAGTCTCGTGGGGTCCCTTAGAGTTTTGTATGGGCAGGATCTTAGGGGAGCTCTCAAGGGAGGATCTCAATAGATTTTCATCGGTTTTCCAGGTGTGCTCTTTCCGGGTCCTGGTCTCCAACGACTAGTTGGTGCCAGGGGTCATTAGTCAGTGCAGCTGGTCCTGAGACAGCTGTGGCTTCACTTGTCTGGTTTCGCTGCATTCTGGGCCTGGAGCTGAACTACCACTGAGGCCTAGATGTTATCTTTAGGGAGAAGAATGCGGAGGCTTCAAAACGCAGGATCAGTGATAAGCTAGGGGAGGAAAAGTCACCCCAGGGGAGAGGTCCTTGTCTTCCCAGTTTTGCTCATTGCTGGGCATCCACAGCTCTCCACCCTGGTGACTTTCTGAAACTGGCCTATTGTGTTTGCCCTGCTCATGTCTGTCTAACTGCCTACACTGAGTGGGACTTTCTTTTTCTTTTTCTTGGATGTACGAGGTGACACTGGTGAACACAATTATGCAGGTTTCAGGTGCAAGACTGGGTAGACCTTTAAACACAGAATGACAAAAGTCAGTGAGGATGCAAAGCAACCGAAACCCGTGGGAGTGCAAACTGGTATGACCTCTCTAGAAACAGTTGGGCAACACCTACTGTGGTTGACACAGACATACACGGCCCAGAGCGGCCCGGCCACTACACACACCAGAATGTCATTACCACTTCATTCATTAGAGCCCCAAACTGGAGACCACACGGACATCCACGAGTCACAGACCAGAGTGCACCCACACCACGGAGCACCACGGAGCTCCACGGAGCCGTGAGAGGGAACAGCCTGCAGCTGCACACTGGGACATGACCAAACCCCACAAACGAAGCCAGGCACGGAAGGGCTCAGACCATCGGAGTCCATTCCTGCGAAGGTCAAAGCAGCTGAAACCTAGTCTGTAGCAATAAAAACCAGGGTTCCTTCAGGGAGAGACAAGGGGTTAAAAAAAAAAATCACTCTAGAGTCTAGAGTTTTTTAAAAATCAAAAGAGTTTCTCCTGCTGGATTGCTGGACTTTTCCGCTATGCTTTTTTGGAGGTAGAAAGTTCAAGGACAAGTAATGTGTCTGGGGAGCCTCTGCCTTCCTCACCACTCCCCCTTCTCCTCTGCCACCAGCCAAGCAGGAACTCCAGGGAGAGTGAGGCTAGGGACTGTCCCAAAGTGGTGATTTCATTTTGGCTTCAAGGAAGAGTTCCCCTAGCAACTTGGCTTCTCACCTCTTTTTAATCGCATGTATGTATGTATTTACTTACCAGGCACGTTCTTCGCTCTTACCGTGGACCAGGCACTGTCCAAAGTGTGTCATCCATATGAACTTACATAGTGTATCAAACGTGGATTCCTGCACCTACTGGGGACTGACAGTCACAGCCCCTTTACTGAGCACTTACTATGTGCCAAGCAGCTAAGTTACAGACTCCTTCTCACATGAGCCCTCGGGAGGCGGGAAACATTTGTTCCCATTACAGATGTGGAAACAGGCTCAGCGAAGTCAGTGGCGCGGCTGAGACTGAAGCCTGACCTCCTGCTTTACTGCAAAGCCGTGGGCCTTGGCTTCCTTCCTGTTCCTGCGCAAATGTCAGGTGTCCTCTGGGAAGCCCTCCCTGGCCATCCCAGCCCACCCCTGACGCTGTTAACCCCCTTGCTTTGCCTCAGTTGCCTTCCTCGCTTCTCAGGGTGTTACGTGTGGGCTACAATAAACTAGATGAGATTATCCGTTCCCTGGGTCAGTAACAGTGGAAAACGGGACATTTCATCCAGTCCCCCTACTGGAATGACAGCTGCAGGCAGGTTCACAGCCCTGTCCCCAACGCCTGGCACACAGCAGGCACTCAATAAATGATGCGGGAGTGATTGAGGGAGTCTGACCACTCCCGGGAGACCAGGGCTCACTCACCCACGAGCCCAGAGGTCCAGCCCGAGGGGACTGGGCGCCGCCCTCTATCCCGCCACCTGGGGCACCTTCCCTGCCCCGGAGCTAGGCGGGGTGGGGCTCACCGTCATCCATTTACCAGCCTCGCCACTCCGAGGGGCGCACGTTAATAAGATTAGCAATTAAAACGCGACCGAGTGTCTGTGGCACGGGGCCACCCCCAGGCTGAGCCGGGGCGGGACGGCGCTCCTGGCGGCCGCGCAGCACAACAGACGTGCGGGCGCTGGGGCGGGAAGCCAGTGCGCGAGCTCAGGGCCATGGAGAAAGCGCGGCCGCTGTGGGCCAATCCGCTGCAGTTCGTGTTCGCCTGCATCTCTTACGCCGTGGGCCTGGGCAATGTGTGGCGCTTCCCCTACCTGTGCCAGATGTACGGCGGAGGTGAGTGCGGGCTCCGCGCCGCGCGGCTCGGGCCGCGGGGCTGCGCGCGTCCCCGGCGGGCGGGCGTCGCCGGCGCGCTCGGTGCAGAACGGCACTCGGCCCCGACGCTCCTGGGGGTGCGCGCTGGGACGCGCCCCCTGTTCCACCCCAGTAAACCGAGGCTCAGAGCGTGTTAATGCGATCGTCGGTTTGCAGGGCCGGGAGTCGGACTCGGGGCATCTCAGGTCACACCTGGAGCCCCGTCCGAAGCCGCCCCCCACCTTCTGCACCCCCAGCCCCATCCCAGGGGCTGCCAAGCCCCCCACCACAGGCTCGTTGGCCAGGCTGTGGCTCTAGGAGACGTGGGGGACACTATTTGGAAGAGAGGTGGCAATAGTGTGAATACCAGTGAGTGTGACACGCGCTAGTTCAACAGAAACTCGTTCCACTACTTTACCTGTGAAACTTAGATTCCTGGAAGCATGATTAGAGACTCGGATTCAAGGATCTTGAGCTCGCCCTTCCTTCCTTCCTTCCTTCCTTCCTTCCTTCCTTCCTTCCTTCCTTCCTTCCTTCCTTCCTTCCTTCCTTCCTTCCTTCCTTCCTTCCTTCCTCTCTTCTTTATTTCTTCCTTTTTTTCCCTCCTTCCTTCCTTCTTTCCTTTTACAGAGTGGGGAAAGGAGGGAGACAGAGAGGGAGAGAAACATCGAAGTCTGAGAGAAACGTCCATCCGTTGCCTCTTGTACGCGCCTGGACCGGGGACCGAACTGCAGCCCAGGCATGTGCCCTGACCTGGAATCCAACTGGCAACCTCTCGCTTTGCAGGACCCGGCGCCCCCACCGCGGAATGAGCCACCCTGCTCTCTGGGCTTGAGCTATTTCTTTAGATTTTTTATAAAATGATTGGTTTGGTTTGGAACCAAAGAGAGCAGGAAGGCAATTCATTCATTCTGTTTCTGCTTTTTTTTTTAACACAAATTTTTCCCTGAAGTATCACAGCACGCTCACTAGACTGAAAGACAGTGACACAGCACAGACACACAGCACATGCTGGTAATGTTCAGAGAGCGGGAGACCCTCCCGTGGCCTGAGAAGCTCCGCAGAGGCCCAGGTGCCTTTTAGAAGGCAGAGGGATTGAAGTCTCCATGTTACAAAAAAAAAAAAAAAAAAAAGTTTTTCCTAGTTGTTCCATTTCTAAAATTCCATCTAAAGGAAAATGATGAGAGTTCTGACAGAAGGCAGACTATAAGAGGATGGTCTCCATCTTTTAATAAAAGCAAAATACTGGAAACTTCCTAAGCCTTCCACTAAAAGGATTCCGGTTCAGTAAATATGGAAACTTCATAGCCATTAAGATTGTGTTTTCAAAAAATGTTACGTATTTTCTCATTTCATATGTTACATGGAGGGAGGAAAAGTCACAGTGATCACTGAATAAAATGAATGGTCTCAAGTTAAAATAGACAAGAGAATGAAAACACTGTACTAAAGTGTTCACAAGTAGTTATGTGGGTGATTTCTGCTTACCTTGTAGAGACAGAGTGTGTGTGTGTGTGTGTGTGTGTGTGTGTGTGTGAGAGTGTGAGTGGTGTCTTCTATAATATGCATGAATTTGTCTCACCGTAAAGGACAATGAGAGATGTTAACTAGAGTGTGTTTACAAAATTTAACCCATGGAAGGAGATTAAGACCTAAAACACTGCTCTCCCTTGTTCCCACCAGCTCAAAAAAAACAAAAAACAAAACGGTTAATCCATAGTTTTTTTAAAAATAGTGCATTCTTAATTCTCTCTTTTTTTATTTTAAGGGTATAAATACATCAAAATGATGTGAGGCCGTGGGCTGCCGTTTGCTGCTGCTGCAGTTTCATAGCTGCCTTTTGACGTGTGTGTTTGTCGGGTTGCCGTTTCCTTGCCGGTCCGTGTCGCACCCCTCCGCCTGCCGCGCCACCTTCGCTCTTTCCCAGAGGTCCGCCGTGTTTCCTTCCTCGTTTCCAACAGCACCTTCGCCTGAATAGTCTGTGGGGGCGCGCAGGCGGGGCCCAGCAGCTCTGCGGTAGAACAGATACGAGGCACAAGGGGCAAACACAAGGCCCACGGGCCGAATCCGGCCCTCCGCCTTGTTTCTACCCGGCGGCAGTGCCAAGCTCCTTGCCCCTAGTTAAGCAGTGGTTAGATTTCTACAGTCCTAAAGTTACATTGGGCCCTTTGAGGGCGACCACGAGGCTGATGTGACGACCCTCAGTGAAAATGAGTTTGACACCCTGATACAAGGAGTTGCTGTGGAAACCTCAAGACCTTGAGGACTCCGGAAAAGGAAAGAAAAACAATCTTGTGTGGGTGTAGAGTATATTCAGCTGGTAGGCAGCTAGAAAAATGGATAGATGGATAGATGGGTGGATAGATGAATGATGGTGGATGAATCGATGGGGTGGATGGATAGATGGATGAGGTGGATGGATGGATGGAGGTGGATGGATGGATGATGGTGGATGGATGGATGGATGGGGTGGGTGGATAGATGGATGAGGTGGATGGATGGATGGAGGTGGATGGATGGATGATGGTGGATGGATGGATGGATGGATGGGGTGGATGGATAGATGGATGAGGTGGATGGATGGATGGAGGTGGATGGATGGATGATGGTGGATGGATGGATGGATGGATGGATGGATGGGGTGGATGGATAGATGGATGAGGTGGATGGATGGATGGAGGTGGATGGATGGATGATGGTGGGTGGATGGATGCGGTGAATGGATGGATGGATGGATGGGGTGGAAGGATGGATGATGGTGGATGGATGGATGGGTGGATAGATGGATGGGGGGTGGACAGATACTGGCTGGGTGCATGCCACCCTGTCAGCCTTAAGTGTCTATAGAATAATGACTAAGTAGCTTATCCTGGCTCAGTGAGGACCTGACCACCTAACACCTGTCCTGATTTCTACCTCATTTCCTGCCACTGATCTAACCCCGCCCCCAACCATTCAGAGCAGCCCTCCGTGGGGCACGCCCACTCTGCCCCCACACTGTGCCTGGGCAGTTTCCTCCTGGAGCAGTCCCACTCTACACCCACCCCCCACCCCCACGCCATGACCCCAGGCCAGGCTTCTCCCTCACTGTCACCACTGCCTGTCAGGCCCCGAGTCCCTGCAGGCCTACATGCTGTTCTCCAGTCTCTGTCTCCCACTGGCCCGTCCCTGTGCAGTGGCTGGATCAGAGGAGGCTCTGATGAATATTTGTTGGATGAATGAGCCGGGTCTGTTCTGAAAAGCCGCGGGGGTCCCTGAGGTGGGGATGCTGGTGGTTTTCCCTGAGCCTTTTGTCACCTATCTGTAAGTGATTTACCATCCCCCAGACCCAGGTGGCTTTCAGACCCAGTCTTCACCAAAAGCTCAAGGGTAAACCAACCGCACCACAGAGGGCTCGGAGGGGAATGTAACTTCTTCCCAGCGGCGCTGAGACCCTCCCACCCCCGGTCGACAAAGGGCTGTTGATAAACCGCAGAGCCAAGCTGTGCCGAAATACCTGCCAGAATAAAACGGATTAGGGGCTTGTGCCCCTTTCCACCGGGCTCTGCCCGTGCCCGTGACCGGAGGCCGGTTTCCTTCCCACTCTGCTGGCCAGGCTCAGCACGAGGAATGTTAATTCTGCAGATTACATGCCAGATACCAACCACCTCTGTGCAGTGTGCTGGCTGGAGACTGGGGAAAAGGGCAGCCGAAAGAACCACACAAAAATCCCTTCTTGAAAAAGTCAGCAGGGCTTGGTGATCATGCCAAAGTCTAAGTTGTTCAGTGAGAAATCAGGATGCAAATGTGCTGTATGCTGATGTGCCGGAAAAAAATGTGCTGGTGGCTGATTTTTCTGTTAAGCACGAACTCAAATCATGGGAGGGATGTGGAGAAGTAAGAACGGTTGTGTGGCTGGTGGAAATACGGATTTTTTTTCTCCTAACTTTTCTCTGTGTGATATTTGAACCGTAAAGAGGGGAAAACCAAAGGCTACCTGATCCTGCCGTAGGACAACAACACGCTAAGCCTGGATGTCCCCCTTCCACCCAAAGCCCCTGCTGCTCCTCTTTAGCGCTTAGGGCTTGGCAAACTGCTGGGCCCCGCCCCCAGAGGTTCCAACTCAGGTGTCCACCCCCAGGAGGCCAGCATTCTGCACTTCCCACAAACTCCTCAGTGACGCTGGTCAGAGCCACTGGTTCATGGACCGTACTCTAGAGGAAGCCCCCTTCCAGGCACCAGCTTCTGGACACCAGGCAGTGCGGTGACCCTTTACAAGTGCCAGACAACTGGCTGTTGGTGGAGGAGGAGGAGGATCTAATTTCTAGCATTTGCTGATTCCCAAGTGTCAATACTCCCACAACGGCCAATCGCAGACAAGCAAAGTCATGTCCCGGAATGTGGAATTGGGAAGAGGTGGGCACAGCCAGCTCTTGTGAGCTCCTGTGAGCCAGCAGGGCACAGGATGGGGACCGGGGCCACAGCCCGTCAGGCCAGGGCCCACCTGCAACTGAGTCCCACCAGGTGGGCTTTGCAGAGGACAAAGGCTGTAAGTGGAGGGAGAGGAGGAGTTTGGAAGCCTGAGTAAACTTCCCCCTGAAAGTGCTTGACTCCCATTTGTCTCTTTGTGGGTCTCGAAGAGCTGGAGTGAGATAGAAGGGCGTGCAGGGATCTGTTCCACACACAAGGAATTTCTCTTCCAGTGGGATTCTTGGCTTTCACAAACAGATAAGGTACTGGCTGTGATCATTAGGAAAATAAGTAGCAACGTGCTCTAGAATGGCCAATTAGTGTGTGTTTGGGGGTTACAAAAGTAATACATCTTCATGGTAGAAAATTCAGAAAATAGAGAAATACAAATAAAATGCAACAAAGAAATAAAATACAAAATCCCCCCCAAATTTCAGCACCCAGAGAAAATGACTGTCAATACATTTTTGGCTTCAAAAAATTTAGAACCATCTTTTATATGTAATTTAGTGTCTTGCTTTTTTTTTTTTTTA